CTGCCCTGAGCCCATTTGGCAGTCTTTGCTTGATCTCCGCGAGATGGACTTGGCTTGTGTTCGCATTGGTTCTCTTGCTGGCTCTCTGTTTTTCTCTTTTTTGGTCTGTCTCTGTTGGTCTCGTGCTTTCTTTTATGCCTTCTCTCTTATGGGGGCTCTTAAAGGAAGAAATCTGCGGAGTGATGGGGCTGATCCCGGAAAGTCTATCCTGGCAGTGAGAGCAGAGTCCAGGAGACAGGTGACCCTAGGGCACCTGCAGGGAAGAGTGGCATCTGGCTCAGAGATGGCGCAGAGATCCCCAGGGGGCTCGCCATGCGCTATGGAAAGGAGAACACTGGCCTTGGAGACCGCACCTGCCAGGGCTCGGTTGGGAGCAGGCACACGGCTGGTGTGTGTCGTGGTTGGAGTCGAGTGTGTCACGGGCTTGAAGGAAATGGACGCTATGTGGTCTCTGATGCTGACAGAGGGCTCCGCTGCTGTGGACTTCAGTGTGTCTTAAGGGGTGGAGGGGACCTGAGCAATCAAAGGCCTCCTGGAGACTTGGACGGGACATTCTCCTAAATGGCCCCATTTGCCACTCTTGCCTGCCAAGGCTGCTTTGACACAGAATGGAGGAGTGGAGGGACAGAAGGCTCAGTTGCTTCCCCCCTCCCCCTTCCCCTAGGCCTTCTGCTGGTCTTGGGCCTGCTTCCTCCCCTCCCTGTGTGCTGATAGAGCTGCGGGTCTGCTTTAAAGGAAGTAGGCCATGGCCTCAGAGGAGCAAGATGGCCCTTCCCTGTGGTCACCTTGGGGTCTAGCACTGGTGCCTTGTGTATGGTGCCCGGCTCTTCCTCCTATGTCCTCAGCCCGGCATGGAAAGTGATTTTGGGGTAGGAAGTACATCTTCACTTGGGCTCCAGCAGGGTGACTCAGGAGCCTGGTGGCGAGAGAGGGGTGAGGGAGCTATCTCTCCCTAATATGTTCACACTGCCTTGTGTGGGACACACATCCACCTTGGCAGGTATTTTTTTCTTCTGTCAGACACAGGGAAAGCTGTTCCCTGTTTGTACTTGCTGGTGGCAGGCACAGTGCTGGTGGCGAGACGCCAGGCAGAGGGAAGATAAGGGTGATGGATGCCTCTTCTCTGTGCCCTACCTCTCTTATGTCTCCATGAGGGAGGTAGGCAGACATGGGTCACCCCATTTGATAATGAGACACTGAGCACAGGTCACATCATGGGCAAGGGATGGGCAGAGCATGGCCTTGCGGCAGACCCTCTCCTCTCCACTGGCTGGATTGCTCTGCCCCTCCTCACTGAGGGGTCCCACCTTGTGTGGAGCTCTTTCACCCCTGTTCCCTGGCCTTCCTTTACACCCCTCTCCTCTGATCAGGGTGTTGCTTCTCTTTGTGGGTTCTCATATTCTCCCTATTCATGCTTTCACTCCTCCAGCCTGTCGGGTCCAATGACACTTTGAGAGGCCTCATGGATGGTGAGGCCCAGCAGGATCCTCACAGTTCCCAGTGTCAGTGCCTGGAGCACTAGCTTTGCAAAAGGGACGTGAGGCCTGTGTGCTTGGTGGGAGCAGAGCTGTCTGCAAGGCTCCCACTCCTGCAGAGGGGCCCTCTGGTCTGCTTAGTGGACAGTGAGCTCCCACAGGACCCTGGCCTGGTGGGTGCTCTGCCCTGTCCCCATTCCCTGGGAATTCCTTTCTGACACTGCAGGGACATGCTTGTTGTTCCCATACTCAGCCTCTCAGCCATGTGGCAGGGGCTCAGTACATGTTTGGAGAAAGGATAAGTGGGTATCTACCACCCTGTCCAGACCCAAGGGGTTTGGATGAAGAAATAAATAGAGTCTGCCCCCTGGGAACGTGGGTTCCAGTTGGAGAGACCAAACAGAGCCACAGCAGTAAGTGTCTATGCAATTAAGTATGGAATTGCCTGGTTCAGATGTTGTCTGCAGCTGGAATACTGAGGTGGGAGAAATCCACACAGGTGGCGGTCAGAAAAGGTTTCACAGGTCAGGACAGTAGGTGGGCATTGGGAGGCAGCAGGAGGGAGCCAGGCCCTATATGCGATCAAATGGCATTGGACAGACTTCTGTATTTTGGCTAAGAGATGGTATTAGGGTACCTTCTTGGCGGGGAGGAGATGGGAACTTTTGGCTCTGCTTGTGATCTAGCAGCCCATGTCCTGCAGGAGCTCAGTCCTGGCTAGACCCTGCCCACCTGGGGTCCTCCTCAGTGCTGGGGCCTGAATGACCGTATCCCTCCTTGGGAGGGAGACATTTGGCCAGAGCTAACAATGTGGTCTTTGAAGGTATTGTATGAGCTTCCTGTGGCTGCTGTAACAAAGTGCCACAACCTGCATGGCTTCAAACAAATTTATTCTATCATGGTTCTGGAGGCCAGGAGTCTGAAATCAAGGTGTCCTCAGGGCCAGGCCTCCTCTGAAGGCTTGGTGGGAGAATCCGTTCTGTGCCTTTCTCTCAGCGTTTGGTGCTGCCTGCATCCTTGGTGCTCCTGAGCTTGTAGGCCCATCACTGCAACCTCTGCCTCCATCTGCACATGCTGCGCGTCTGTGTCTCTTCTCCTCTTCTTATGGGGACACCAGCCATTGGATTGAGGGTCCACCTATTCCATTATTGCCTCACCTTGGCTACATCCGCAAAGAACTTATTTCCAAATAGCGTCACATTCACAGGTACCAGGGATTAGGACAGTTTATCTTTTTTGAGTGACAGAATTCAACTCATAACAGGTGCTTAGAGATTGTGTTTGTCTCCAGATCCCCTGAACCTATTAAAGTCTCTGTCCCCTCTCAGGTCTCTGAAGATCTGGGCTGTGGGCAGAGACCACCCCCTCTCACCCTCTCATAGCTCCTTGCCTCATTTGCTGGGCTGCAGGGTGGGGGGTGGACAGACGCTGGTCTTCCCATTCAAGATGCAGTCTTACTCTGTGGGGGCTGGAGCCTTGGTTGGAAAAGCTGTTCTTCCCTATTTGGGGGCTGGGTGGTGAGCTAGGGGGTGTTATGTATGGGCAGGAGGCAGGGCGGAGATAACCGCTGGTCCCTGTTTTTTTCCTGTGAAAGACAAAATACGTTTACAGTGCCGCAGAACACTGGCTCTGGAAGGACCTTAAGGGCTTTTGCACAGGAGCAGGGGCCTGCCAGCCGGACATCGCCTGGTGGTGGAGGTCTGGGTGCAGGCCCGGCTCCGCTGCTCAGCAGCTGGGCACCTTGGGCATGTCAGTTAGCTCCTCTGAGGCCGGCTTCCTCCTCTGTGAAGTCGGATGATCATAACTGCTTGCCGGACCTCACAGAGCTTCTGTGAGGGTTCAGTGATAAAGGGTGGCTGTGAAAGCACCTTTTCTGAAATCATTTTTTATTGTGGTAAATTATACATAACATAAAAGTTACCATTTTACCCATTTCTCAGTGTCCAGTTCTGTGGCAGTAAGCACATTCACGTTGTACAACCATCACCACCAGTCATTTCCAGAACTTTTTCATCTTCTCAAACTCTGAAAATACCTTTTAAACTATAAACTAAGAGCACGTTTTATTAATGTGATAAATAAGGAAACCAAGTCCCTGAGGAGCAAGGACTCACCTAAGGTCCCTGTGATTTAGGGGCACAGCTGACGTGAGAACCCTGGGCCCCTGACTGAGTTTGGTGCCTGTCATCTGCCAGCTCCCACACCTCGCTGCCTCTGCAGGCTGCAGGGGTCAGGGGCATGCAAAGCCTCCTTGGGGTCAAATCCCTCCAGAGAGCATCTTCCCTCTCCCAACCTCCAGCCCACAGGACCCGGGGGCCCCTAGGCAAACCAGAATTTGCCCTGTGTTGGGACCCACACAGCTACCTGCTGTGAGGGCGGTGCTCTCAGGCTGTCCCCGTGTCTGTCTTTCTCTCTCCTCCTTCCTCAAATGGGACAGAGTCCAGTGGAGAACCCGGGAAGCTGAATTCAAGGTGACCTTTGGGATGATTTTGTGAGGTACCTCACAGTGTGGAAAGAACTGGGATAGGGAGTCAAAGGCTGGGTTCTGGTCTTTCTGTGGTGTTCCCACTAAGCACGTATCTGTTGAGGTCCTATTGTGTGCCATCATTGGGAACATAGCAGTGAACAAAATCTATTACTTGCTGCTGTGAGACAAATGATGTGACACACAAGGACCATGTTGCAAAGGGCACTGGCCTATAATAGGCAGTGACAGGGAAGGGGACCCCATCCAAGCCAATGTGACGACCTGTGTCCAGGACGCTAGGGTAGAAGGAAGAAGGAGTGGGAATTGCTGTAGTGCCCTGGGTTCCATGTGACCCCCCCTTGGGGGCAGGCCAGGTCAGATAGCGCTTGCCTCCAGGTGGCTGATGGCTGAGGGGGGACACAGAGCTGTGTGCACGCAGTGGTGTCACCGGTGCCCACAGAGAGGAATGGATGATGGCAGGTTATGTCATCAGGGGAAGAAGAGGCTGGTGGGAACCGGAAGCTGGTGGTTTGGGGTGGGGTAGGCTTTTCCCTGGTTTGATATAGAAGAGATGGGTGAGCAACGCCCTCAGGGCATTGCCCCCCAGGGGGACTCTTGTACCTCCCTGGGGTGGGCTCCTGGGACCTCGGATGCATCCTTCGAGGTAGCTAGGGCAGGGTTCTCACCCCATTCTGCAGGTGGGAAGAATGCTGTGTGGAAGGACTTCGGCAGATCGCTGGGAGTGCAGTCAAGCAGAAGGCAGCGCCCAGCTTTCTTGCTTGGTCCCGGGCATTTTTGGCAAACCCGTTGCGGATTCTCTATCTCTCTGACTGAACGATCTATCTAGAGGAGGTGCCCCTAAACTGTGTGTCTGGCTGTCCCGGAGCCCTGTCCCCTAGGAGCTCCCAGCCTCGAGCCCCAGGGCTTGGTGTCCCCATGCTCCCCCTCTCCCTGGCTTCCCGCAGCCAGGGAAGCTGTGGGAGGGGCCCCTCTGCATGGAGGAGGCGGGAAAGGCAGCCACGCTAATCTGTCCTCACCATGTCTTCTCTCAACACCAGGTCCCGGCTGGCAGACTTCCATGCCAATTGTCACGCCTCCTACCAGACGCTCACCAGCTGCCCAGCCGACAATTACCAGGCGTGTCTGGGCTCCTATGCTGGCATGATTGGTAAGCCACCCCCCGCATGCCCCAGCTCACAGTGCCTCTGTGCGGCCCCAGTCTCAGCAGGCGGGGGCCGAGGCCCAGCTCCAGGCCAGTGGGTGGACAGCCTGAGCTCGCCTTTTCAGGTGGCAGTTTTAGACAGAGCTGCCGTGAGAAACCAGAGGTGAGATTGGCTCTTTTTCATGGGGGAGGAGGCCCCAGGGAACTTATATGGCTTTCGAAATGAGAAGAAAAAGGAACACTGATTGCACAGTTTGATATTCCAGATGCTGTGCTAAGCAGTTTACATGACTAATTCCCATAACAGCACTTTCTGGGGAGGTGTTGGGATCTCCATGTTGCAGATGGGGAAACTGAGGCTTAGAAAAGTGGAGTAACTTGCACAGGCTCAGCTGGCTAGTAAATGTTGGCACTGGGATCCAAGTCCAGGATATGAGCTTAGTTGCATTAACTCCAGAACACACTCTGGTGGCCAAGGAGAAGGCAAGGGCCATGCTCTGGGAGGACAGCTGGGTGTCTCTTCAGCCATCCCCATGCCCTCTGCCCCTGCTGACCCCCATGGTTGCCTGGAATAGTAACACTCAGAGTTTGGATTGTGAGTTGGGATGTATGTGTGTTTGGGGGTAGGTGGGAGGGAGCGCCCCAAGCCTCTTGTCTGTGGGGCCTGGGATCTGGAAGCCCAAAGAAGAGGTGTTACCGCTCCCCTCTTCTCTGCCTCCCTTTCTTCCTGCCCAGGGTTTGACATGACTCCCAACTACGTGGACTCCAGCCCCACTGGCATCGTGGTGTCCCCCTGGTGCAGCTGTCGTGGGAGTGGGAACATGGAAGAGGAATGTGAGAAGTTCCTCAGGGACTTCACCGAGAATCCCTGCCTTCGTAAGTCCTGCAGCATCCCCCCTCCCCAGAAGCCCTTCATAGACCTCATGTCCCAAGGGGCCCTGGAGGGCTGCCTGAGGTGTTCCCTTCTTCCTCCCTTGGGACAGCCCGTGATCTGTGTGTCACTTCTCCAGCATGGTGTTGCCCGTGGAAACTGTGGTTTGGGCTCTTGGAGAGTCACACCAGAGCTGTCAATAGGCCAGCCTCAGTTTGCCCCTGGAGGTCTTGAGCCTGTGTCAAGTCAAGGTTGAAAGTTTCTGGTCTGTTATGCTGACTTCAGACAGGTTCCTTTGGGGACAGTCCTGTGGTGAGAATCCTGGCTGTCACTTCTCCCTTTAAGGATCTATTTTTAAGGACCTATTGGAATCAGTGATCCCCCCCACCCCAAGTCATCAAACTTCTAATCCAAAGGCCAGAGAGCAAGGGGAGCCAAAAGCTCTGTCTACCTCCATCTCTTCAGACTGACACCTTTGCTACCCACGCCCACCTGAAGGTCTCCTCTCCCTTCTCTTCCCTCTGTTCTTCCTTCTGTCCATCTGTCCATCTTCCCTTTCTGCACAGCACTGGGAACTCAGAGATACAAGTCATAGTGCCTGTCATGGACAGCTCGCAGCCTGACCGAGGTCCATGCAGTCAGAGTCCAGGGTGTACATGTTGGGTAAGGGTCTGCACAGGGCTTTTCAGGAGCCCAGGGTGGAATGCCCAACTCAGCCTGCAGTAGGGAGCCCCTGGAGGCTTCTCAGAGCCTGACTCACTGAGGTATAGGGACATCGGCTAGCTGAAGAGGCAGGGAAAGTTGCGAGAACTGCAGACCACTGAGCCTTGCTACAGAGCATGAGGATGGCTGAGGTTTTCTGGACAGGAGAGTCTTCCTCCCCAAGGGGATCCTGTGGTCCCCAGCAGGTGTTGGGGTGATGGTGTGGGCTACTGTAGGGGGCAGGACCTGCTGCTGGGGTCAGATCTGCCTTTCAGATGGCTCACTCTCTGGTCTGGTGTGGAGGGGTCAGGGTAGGGATGTGGCTCTTAACTGGTTTTCCCACATGGGATCCGCTCAGAGGGAGTTGTGGCTGTCATGGGAGATGACAATGACAGCTGTGAACCAGAGCAGTGTCAGGGAGGGTGGAGGGGAGTGATGGAGTGCAGAGGTCTTTAGGAGGTGGGCCCAAGTGACGGCAAGTAGGCAGTTAGGGAGGCAGACTGGGGCACTTGGATGGGGAGAGATGAAATCTCAGGACTGGAAACCTGGGAAAACTATTGAAACGCAAGGGAGCGATGCCTAGTGCAGACACGAGGTGGAGGACATGGAGTAGGAATTTCTTTAAGCATTGGATTATAGCGTCAAGTCTTGGGGACAGAGTTCTGTCCAAGAGGTTGCATTAAATTCAGTCCTCGGTGAATTAGTGTGAACTAATGGTGTGGGAGTCGGCGAGGCCACCCAGGGATGAGGGCAGGTCTGGGGCCCTTGGAACACCAGCGGTGGGGACCTAGAAGCATCTGAGGTGGCCAAGGAGCCAGGAGAACTTGTGCCTGGGGGCTTGGGCTGGGGAAGCTCCTGAAGGGGGTGTGGTCTGCACCACTGAATGCCACTTGGAAGAGGGTGCTTGCCGCCCTGGGCATGGCCATTCCTCCCCGCAGGCTTCCCACACTCCCAGCACCCTCCTCTGTTCCTCTACATTCCTTGTCACCATCACCTATGTTTCTTTCTCTTCTGATCTCTTGTCTTTTTCAACTGCCCTCTTGCTATTTTCTTCTCCATGTGACACCTTTTATCCAAAGGAGAGCTTCAGCACAGTTGAGTCTGGCCAAGCTGCACTCTGTCCCAGCTCAGGGCTGTTACAGGGAACATAGTGGCTGAGATGACGAGGGGCAGAAGTGACGGAGGTGGCCCCTGACTTCTCTGCATCGCCTGCTCTCTCCCTCCACAGGGAATGCCATCCAGGCCTTTGGCAACGGCACAGATGTGAACCTGTCCCCTAAAAATCCCTCATTCCAGGCCACGCAGGCCCCTAGGGTGGAGAAAACGCCTTCTTTGCCAGATGATCTCAGTGATAGCACCAACCTGGGGACCAGCGTCATCACCACCTGCACATCTGTCGAGGTGAGGGGACGTGGCTTTACAGCTGGGGAGTGGAGTCAGGGCAGGCTGAGGGCCTGGAGAAACATCATGATGTCAGAGGTGGGTGTGGGAAATTAGCAAACTGGGGTGCGCCAGCTCCTCCCTTTGGATCGGGGCCCAGAGGCAGGGAGGAGCTGGTGGGGGCCAGTTGCCCATGTGTTCATTCACGAGGCATTTCCCTTGCAAGTATCCAACTTCTGTTCTATCACAGGGTTGTACTAGGTAGCATGGGGTGCAGGAGAAATGGAATGGTTACTGTGTGTCAGCCATCTGTTACTTCCCAAGTATGTGCTAGCGGACTTTACCTACTTCATTGAATTCTCGCACAGGGAGGTGTTGGCATTCTAATTTTACACATAGGAGCTGACCCAGAATGTTTAGGCAGCGTGCTCCAGGTGTCATAGCTAGTTAGAGGTGGCATAAGATTTCACCTACATCTGACTCCAAGACCCATGATGATCATTTCTTTTGTCTGTCCATCGTCCGCTCATCCATCCAACACGTGTTACGTACTCAGTGTGTGCCAGGTCTTACGTGAGACGCTAGGGAGGTGTTGGTGAATGAGTTCGACAGAGGCCTGGGTTTTGTGGTCCTTATGGTGTTGTCCAAGGCCAAACAATCTAACAACCATTAGACATGGACTGCAGTCAGTGCCCACACCAGGGACACAGGTGGCACTGTGGGGGTCTATCATAGGGCTCCCCACTCAGCTTCCCTCTCTGCTGACCTGCCCTCATGCTGTCCCACCAGGTGCTGCAGTAGATTCTTTGCTTAGGAGGTTGGTTCTGGTCATAACACACACACACACACACACATACACACACACTCAATGACACACTCACATACACTCGTGCCTACTCACACACACACTCTTATCTCTCTCTCACGCACACCTGGAACAAAGAGTCTAAAATAGGACAGAATGCAGAATTTGAGAGAGAGCAGAGGAGGAAGGGGACAGCGAGGTGGTGGGTGGTGTGGCATAGAGGGATGTTTCAGGCAGGAGTTGGGACTGGAATGTCCGAGAAGGTGGGTGCAGTGTGAAGGATAGCCATTGGGGGTGGCGTTGGGGGCACAGCCTGAGCGTAGGTGTGGGAGGCAAGGGGAGTAAGGCCTGGCTGTGTGTCAGGCAGTGGAGACACCAGTCTGAATGGGATCAGCAGCGGGTGGGCATTCACTGCAAAATTTCATTCACGAAGATGAGTGAGTTCTGGAGAGCTGGTGACTATAGCTGACAGTATTATATTGTGTGCTTGAAATTTGCTGAGAGTAGACCTTAGACTTAGTTGTTCTTGCCACACAGGCACCAGAAAACTCAGGAAAATGGTAAAGGCGTGAACTGATGGATAGGTTGATCGGCTTGGGGTGAAAGTTTCACAGCCTACACGTATATTGGCTCATCAGGTTGTACAACTTAAATATGTAGGGTGGGGCAAAAGTAGGTTTACAGTTGTTCATATGGAAAATAATACAATAATTAATAAACAATACAAGAATAAACCCTGTGTTTCATGTACTCACAACTATAAACCTACTTTTGCCCCACCCTGTATGCAATTTTTGATGGTCACTTATAACCTAAATCAAGCTGGAAAAGACCCCAGTGCCAGGACAAGGACATGAGCAGGGATGGGCCTGGTGGAGGCATTAAGTTCCCCGGGCGCCCACTGCACCACAGGGCCAGTGCTGGTGCCATCCTGGGTGGGAAGCCCACATCCTTCCCTGTCCAGTGGGCTCCCCTGCGAGGTAATAGCTGACCTCCACGTGCCCTCATGTCAGGCTCAGCGTGGGCCTTCCATGTCCCGCTCCCCTCCATTAGGTCCCCCCGCAGATTTGGGCTGAGGTGCCATGTCACCCTTGAACTGTTCCTAATTACTCTGAGCATACTTGAGCAGTGGCTGTTGGGGGCTCAGAGGCCTGCCGCACAGATAGTCACCAGCTCAATTTCATGCTAGAGCAGCGGGCAGCTCGGCCAGTCTGGGCTGTGCCACCTGTCGGGTAACCGTGCTCTGATGAGGCCCACATGTCCCTCTGAGAACCATCAGCGTCCATGTGTCACGCTTCCACCCCTAGCTCATTGGGGCGGCTCACCCATGGAGATCATGACTCATCAAGCGGTGCTCACTGTGATTGACTATGGGTGTAGAAAGTTTAAAGCTGTGACCTCCTGCCCCACCACAGCCCCCTCTGTGCCTGAGGACTCCGACTCCCTTTCGCCCCATTTCACCTTAGAGGTTTGCTAAATCATTGCCTGGTTTCTTTTCACCCCAGCCTGATTTTCTGCAGCATCCCCATGTGGGGGCTTGTCTTACCCTTGGTTTGATCCATGTGAGAGGTGGTGAACGTGACAGGGCCTGGGAAACTGAGGAACACTATGGTTGGTGTTATGAGTCCCGGGGGCTGGGCTCAGGAGGCTGCCTGGCAGGGGCTCCCCAAGGCCTGGCTGCTGTGACCCTCCACTCGGGGTCTGTTGATTCTGTCTCTCTGAGTAGGACAGCTGGGGACAGCCCTCCCAGGAGGAAAGAGAATGAAGCAGATCCTCAGAGGCTGCCCACCCACTGTCACGCCTGGTTTCTTCCCATAGAAGCTGAAGGGGAGGGGCCCCTGATTCTGTTTCAATGACAGTCTTTTTAATGAGCACCTGCTGCTCCATGCCACGTGTGGGAGTGAGGGTGAGTAAGGACCCTCACCTTGGCGGGAGGCTGTGTGGGTGGTTTGTCCCTTCCCCAGCCCATACCCGCTCCCTCAGCTCTCCTGGCTTGAAAGGGCTCCATGGGTGGCGGTTGTGGGATCCTTGGGAAAGACAGCAACCCATGGCTACAGAAGGTAGTCCCTGGGTGAGGGCAGAGACAGGAAGCTGAGATTAGGGTGGGAGGGGATGGGGGAGGTCGTGCACCCCAGACACCCCCGTCCTCCCCATCCACAGACCTGGACCCTTGGAGAAACCTTAGGGACCCTTCACTGACTCAGAGACAGCAGCCAGTTGGGGACGCACGTGAATGGGTGGATGTTAGGAAGAGATGGCACTGAGATCTCCTTAAACCCCAAAGGACTGAAGCCCAGTGAGGACAGTAACTTGTTTCCAGTCCCCAGGGCCCAGCTCTGGGGTAGTTTCCTCCTGGCTGTGCTGTGCTGCCTGCTCCCCCACACCTGCTCCTCTGGGGCTCTCCCACGGTGGGAGAAGAAATCAGGGTCTGCTGAGCAGACATGTGGGGTCCTTAGCAGAGCCCGGAACCCGGAGGCCCTGAGTTAGCCCTGTGTCTGGGCATCCTGGTCCTGTCTTCAGGCCTGCGGTCCTACACTTCCACTCCCAGCTGTGTCCTGATCGGTGGCCCTGCCCAAACGGGAGGGGCTCTCTGGAATTGGGGAACGCATGGCGGAATCGAACCTGCAGAATGGCCTCTCCCCTCTCCCTTCTGGCAGACATACACACACACATACACCCCCCATGTGAATTTCCCCTGGAGCAGGGAACCTGTAGGAGACAGGCCGGTATTGTACTCTCATCCAAGGCCCTCGGTTCTGAAGCCCAATGAGGCTGTCCCATGCTGTAGGCTTGAAGGCTGGGCAAGCAAGGTGCTGGCTGTGCTCTGGTCAGTCCCTGCTGCCTCCCACTTACTCGGGGCTCCTGCTTTGCCTCATATTGGCCCCATCACCATGCATTATACTTGCTGCTTCCAGGCAAGCATCCCTGGAAGACTGGCCGCATCTCACCCTCTGTATAGCCCTGGATAACTTGAGTGCACGGTGCTTGGCACTGAGTAGCGCTTGTGCAGGGAGGGAAATAACCCCAGTCCATTTGCTCTGCTGGAACGTCCTGCTCGCCAGTTTAGAAAACAGTTTGTTTTATTGCTCGCGGGCAGGTCTTTATTCCGCTTTCCTCCCTCTCACTGATGCCCTCTGTGTGTCCCGAATGTGTGGAGGTGAAGTCTTTCTATTGAGAATGCAGGAAGATTGGTTGGAAGGCCCCTTTGTCATACACTGGGCCTGGACCAGGACGGTGCAGTGTGACTGGCAGTGGGTTAGCACCTTCCCCTGCCCTTGTTTGTTTCTAGGGTCCTTGGCACTCCCCATGGGTTGCTCTGGGCCAGTTTGCAGGACTCATCAGATCAACTGGATGGAGTCTCATCCTCCCCTGTGCTAAGGGCCCCAGCAACACAATCTCCTTTGCTTTCCGTGTCTCCACCAGCCAGTTTCTGCCCATCACATCTGGGGGAATTAAAAATGAGTTTGGAGGGGTTGCCACAGCCCCTTCACCACATACCTGCATGGGCTCTGCAGCCAGCAGCCACCTCCCTTCTTTCCCTCCTCCCGCCTGTTCCCTGATGGGTCTCTTAGTTCCTGCATAGGCCCTGGACATCAGAGTGGGGCTGAGAGGCCTGTCCTGTGTCTGTATGTCCAGTAGGCACAATTTCTGATTTAGAAATCTGGCTTGTTTTGAAGCTTTGAGCGGCCTTTGTGCATTGCTTCTTTTCTTCCCTCCCTCCAGCTCTCCCTTATAGTCATTCATGTATTCATCCATCTGTGCATTCATGCATTTATTCAACTTAAATTCTTTCTGCCTGTCACTGTATTTCAGGCACTGAGGCCAGCAGGCTCACTAGGCCAGTACCTGGTCCCCATACCGGTGGGATGGACATGCTCAGATAATCATGGGGGAGGCAGTGATTGGTACACCAAGAGGACTAGTCTCTTGCTGTGGGATCCAGCTTAGGGCTGGGAGTGGAAGCAGAGGACTCATGGACAAGGTACTGCTAGGCAGGCCTGGAAGGAAGGGAGAATTGACCACCCGGAGATGTGGGGGTGGGCTGGAGTAACTGAGGGCGCCCCAGGCAGAGTGGCAAGCAGAGCAGAGTCAGGGAGTCACGACAGCACAGAGCAGGTTGAGAAGGGGGTGTGCTGCCTTTTTGGATAAATTAATTTCCATTGGATCAACACCACACCCTTGTGTGTACACGGAGCAGGTTGAGAAGGGGATGTGC